GCCACATGTTCACGTTTGATTTTGTCCTTTGAAGAACGAACTTGGGTCATCAATATGCAGACCCGAGTATGAGACTTACCTTCGCTTCTTTGGTCTCATCATCGTCGACATCTTCAGGGTTCATCGTATCCTCATCGTCCGCATGCTCCTCTTCGAAATCCATCTCCTCGTATGCCTCAACGTTGCATTTTCAGTATGTGGAAAGAGTCACAAAGGTATAAGGGTGGGGATCCTACCGCATCTTGTTTTCTGTTGTCATCATCGTCAAAGAGCCTGTCTCCAACGTCATCCTCTTCCTTCTTCACTCGAGAAGTGTGTCGGTGTTGTGCATCCTGCACACCCAGTGTTGCCAATGTGGCAGCAGACATGCTACCACCTGCGCGTGAGGTGAACTGAACTGCGAGGCTGTTGCGTTTCAGTGATTTCTGGTACTGTTGGAGGGGGTAATGTGGTAAGGGCATCTAGATCGAGGAAATCAACCGTAGATACCTTTGCCTCCGCTTCTTCAGATGTCATCGTTGCAGCATGAGTGCTGGATTTCACAAAGTCATAGCAGCGTTTAACGGGAACGAACGAAAAACCTCCAGCCGGACCTGCGACAAATAACGCATAAATGCCATCTTCGTTCTGGTCGGTCATCTTGCCAACCCAGGTGTCGGGTATATCAGCACCGCTCGGTTCCAGCAACCATGGGAATCGCTCCTCACGGCGGAGTTGACGAATGGCATCGGAAGCAGTGAAAACTTGACGGGTTTTCTTCTTAAACGCCGCACTCTTCTTCTTCGGAGGGTCACCGTCGCCTTCCTTCTTCGTCGTCGTCCCAGTTTTTAGCTTCTCGTATTGAGCCTGCGTAATCTCTCTACCATCTATGGTTGCAGCCAAAACAACTTTCCCATCCTTTCCAATGACGTCGCGACCATCAGCCCCTTTAAGAGGTCTCCACTTAATATCTGAAGCATTCAGACCAACACCGATGCCATCGCCATGTCTGACTCTCGGATGTTTTCTATTCAGCTTGATAGGCGCCGGAAACTGTTTAATATCGATAGCAAGAGTATTATTAGGCGCTTTGAAACGCAGAGTATTGTACGAATGTCCGTCAGGCGCAGTGGACCACAAGGGGAAATCCTGATATGTGAGCTGAGATGTAGCGTCTGTCATGGGCTCATCTTTAGGCTCTATCTTCGCGGCAACGGGGGCAGGGGAACGGGATTGGGGAGAGGAGGATGAGGATGCATCGTCACGCGAAACACGCCGTTGGCGTCGCTGATCATTCTGCTGCTGGCGTCCAAACTTGGTGGTCGGATCACGAGAAGTAGAGGGATTCTTCCCCTTGTTGGCCAAGGCCACCATGGCTGCAGCCGTCATTACCCCCATGATGAACAGACAGCGCGCTTGAGGACAAAGAGTGGCCGTGGGCGGCAAGGTCCGTTAACACGTGATGTGGCACGGCCATCCCCTGTCATCGAAGGTTGAGCATTGCCTGTGCGTCTGTCATGGTGCTACACAAACCCCTCCTCGGCTCTGCTGCGGTGGAGGCGCCAACAACCCGGACTGTTCGGGTCACTGAATCAACATGCCTGCAGCTCTCCTTGTTCAAGGGTATTTGACAACTCTAGACCCTCTGATACTAGATGGTGCTCAATTAACATGCCTCGGATTATTTTGATTCATCTGCTAGATATAATAAAGGAGTATCGGTCCCTAGATGATGGCATTACAATGCGATTGAATCGTAACAGCGCACAGTGGCGAGATAGGGACCGGAGTAGTGGACATTCCTCGAAACCGGACGAGCCATGTGAATTCTTTTGGAAACAGTTAGTGGGTGAGTTTTCCATTCCCTTCTTCAGAAAGATCACCGAAGTTGGCCGATAGCGAACTGGAAAGGCAGAAAAGAAGTGATAGATTATTGCGTCGACGTGGTTGACAAAAATGTCACTGAGAAGAAAAAATCAATATCGGGGCAGGAAGAAGGGCTTGATGGCGACCAGAAATCACGGTCAATTCGATTCAGTCTTTTTAGTGATGAAATCCTTGTGCGTCGCCACTTCCAAACAGTTGTACTCAACTCTCCTTGGTTCATATGGGTTCGCAGCGAAACCAAATACGACAAGAGCTGGCTGTAGAAGCGATCGTTCGACGAAGGTCTTGGGAAGGTAGATTTCTTCCCTCTCCCGCCTAATTCCGTTTCAAGCTTATTATCCGCTTAGCGTTCTCGTCGCGTTGCAAATACTTTGAACCCCCGAAAACGGATGCTGAGGCGCGGAAATGGTGGGGTGCCGCCATCTCTGGGAGACATGCCACATGAGGGCTCTTCGTAGCCGTTTACTAGTCCCTAACTCCTATCCCCGTTGCTTGGCTTTCCCCATGTGCAAACATTTCCTGTCGCCGGCATCCTCAGCAAACCTTCATCTGCTGCAGCTTATTCTCCATCAGTCGCTAAACCTGGGTCACCGCACAAATTGGACGAGTAAACAGCCACGTCCCAACGTATGCCTTGGCACAGAACCATTTTCTAGGCTGCGCAGCAGAGGATCAACGCCATAGCATCTCGTCACTCGTTTTTCTCAAGTACCACCAACTTGAATCTCTCTTGCTGACGAAGCCCTGTACTCTCGTTCGTTGTGATCGAACAGAAAAGCATTGGACAGCTTCAGCGTTTCTTTGTATGGGTCAGTTCTTGATCCCTGACAACTTCAAAATCACATCATGCTGGTCGTTTTGTACGGCTACATGCTGCGCACACCCAATATCAGTGCAATTGTTAGTGTAGCTTGGTGTTCCCCACCTATACAAGACTAGTAGAACTACCCATATGCAGATGAGGCGTAAATGCCGAATCATGAATGCCGCTCGATCAGCCTTATCCACAGCGCAACTCCTGACTTATGCACTGCTGCTGAAACAATCGCTTTCACTTTTATCTTTTTGATGACACGTCGTAACTAGGATTTTGGTGTGCGGTCACATTAGGTGTGATTGCCAGGGGTGCGAAGCGCAAACAAAGCGCGCCAGCAGGCACTCACAATAACCAGTACTCGCCTTATATCTGGAATCCCCAAAATGACGGACTCTTCTCCCTGACATATTAATTAACTGTGATCTCCCCTTGCGTGGCGCCTCGCTTCTTATTGGGAACTACAACTCAAGTACGATAGTAAGTTGCAAATTTACCCACGACAACGATAACACAAGGCATTTGACGCCCAAGGTTTTCATCGGCTAGACCAATACACGGTTGCGACAGTTCGATTGGGGCAGGTTCTTGGTCGAGGAAAACATCATGTCGTCAGCTTCACTGTTGCCACTACCCTTCCCCCAACGGTCCTCTGATAGGGCGCACAGTCGTCCCCCAATCCGATTGCGGTTCCAAATACGATCCTCTGGCCACCCTGGTGTCGTAAAAGCGAACCAACGCCTTGGCTGGAGGAATTTGCACCAATCCGGTTTGAATCGTGCGATGTGTTCCGTTATCAATTTGCTGCGAACTGGAATACTAAACACAAGTGTTCGGAGCTACCAAGTCAGTGCAGTGATGGGGCGATTTGGTCGTAGCAGCACGGTACTCATCACCGCCGCGTTTTTGGCCTCTGCGGGATGTGCGCACAATGCGTGCGAGGCACAACAATCCCAATGAGTACTGAGCGGACCTCGCAGCGCATACACCTTGTTTAGAAATCTGGCTACAATCCGTGAGCTGTGTGTTATACAAAAATGAGGGCATGATTTTGGCGTTGAAGACGATGATCATGATCTTGTAATCGCCGCTTGTGGAATCGATGGCACCTGCCCGAGTCGATGCCAGCCCTTTTTCTCCAGCCTCCCTCCTTGTTGTCACGTGGTGGTTGGGGGCGCGAGTTGTTATAGAGATGGGTTTGTGTGAAGCACTTTTTGTGCTAAGGATTGCGCGGCCGGCTGTCCCGAAAAATGGATATTGGGCAACAATAGTATTCAGCCAAGTGCTGCTTGCATTGGGGAGGCACGTACCCAAAGCATGATTTTTCTCTCAAGTTTCCGGCTGGCACTGCTCTCAAGATAACAACAGTGAAAATTTCTCGTCTAGCCATGAAACGGATTCCTTTGACCAGATTCCGGACTCGGCATTGTATTGCCTCCGCGTTATCGGTTGTGAGAAATTCTGTTGGATTCGTCGGATGATTAATTGAGGGTTGTTCCCGGTATTCGCTTCACTACTCGACTCTAAATGTGGGCTGTTTCTTCATTGTGATGTGGAGCACCTTATTGATGACTATGTGAATTCCAGACATGACCTCAAATTCCGGTTGGGAAACATCTGTGTCTGGTATAATTTCTGGGCAAAATCTTGGAGTGGAACCTGTTGAACAATCATTCTGTTGGAATTGGAGCACAGGAGATTCCTGAGTGTGCTCCGTTCCGTTATGAAGGTGCCGACAAGTCACAGCGTCAATGAAGAACGGGACATTCCCCCGATAAGGTGGCGAGGACGGTACAACTTGTAGCTCCCTCGGAACCCTGAGAACACCAAGGGTCCCTGGTGTATGATGATAAGGTCCCTGCTACACTTTGAGAGGAAACTGCAAGGAACTGTATGTTCACGTAAGTAAACTCTTCATTATGCGAAACGCGTTTGAAGGCCATGTGACAGCACCGTTAGATAATCAGGAAGGCCGCCGATATATTTTGCCACAGGGTTCAGAGTGGCCGCAAGCGTATAGTGCTGAATCACATTGGTGCCAGGGCGATGTCCGTGGTCGTAGCCGAGGCTGGCGTGTGCGCTTGCTGTGTGTATCTAGAATCCAGCTGTATTTTGGGGACATGCGATGATGTGAAGTGCCAGTTAATGGCGTGGACCACAGTCATTTGGCCGACAACATCGTCAGCAACAATTTGCTTTTAACTGCGATGAGAATACCAATAATATTTCCCCAGAAACCAGACAATCAACCATTGACCTCGGATATTGAGGCGCCGTTACCGGGATATTAACGTCATGCCCATTACTGCAACATGTCCCCGTGGATTTAAAGCCTGCATGGCACTCGGGAACTGCCTGACGCCGCTATTTCCTTGCTGCGAGAACCGCAGAAAAGTGTGCGACTAGAGAGAGAAGAACTAGAAGGGTGTTAACGCAACGTCTTGACAAAGTATAACTACCCGATGGACATTGAAGCGTGAGCACCTTCTTTCTCATTGTGTCCCTCGCTTCCGTCTAGGGTCTTATTCATCCTTCCTCTCATCCAGGTTTCGCAAAGCAGGTTATGAAGCAATAGATCGCATATGCGACTACTATAATACTCTCGAATCGCGTCCCGTCCTGGCCCAAGTGGAGCCAGGATACTTAATTAACAAATTATCTACACATCCTCCTCAAGAAGGAGAAGATATTCAGGAGATCACAGCCGATTTTCGAAGATTGATCATGCCTGGAATCACCCATTGGAATCATCCTGAGTTTTTTGCCTTTGTAAGTTTTAGTTTGGAATTTACTGGCCAGGGGACCGTTGCCAGGGGCCATTGACTGCATCGACTACCTTGGTTCCTGGTTGCCGGTCTTCTCGCTCCTCTCGCCCCCTTCGCAGCATCGCCGACTAACGTTTTGTACCGTTCAGTTCCCAAGTGGTAGTTCACTCGCAGGAATCCTCGCAGACTTATACTCCACTTCAGTTTCCAACCCTGGCTTCAACGTACGCACGTCTCTGCTTTAGGGTATCTTCCTGTTTTAATGTTCCTCCCACTTACCGGCCATTAGTGGATCTGCTCTCCAGCATGCACCGAACTTGAGCAAGTTGTTGTGGACTGGGTCGCAAATCTGCTTAGCCTCTCCCCAGCTTTCCTCAACTCCCCTCCTGCACCGGTCCATGACCAGCCTCCCTCAACCACGGCCTCCTCGCCCAGTGCTTCTCCCCCTCTCACACCTGTCGAAAGCAGCGGCACATCGCAACCCCTACTTGGAGGTGGGGGCTCCATCCAATCAACAGCCTCCGAAAGTGTCCTTGTGGCAATAATCGCAGCCAGACACCGTTTCCTCTCTTATTTCTCATCCCATTCCTCCCTTCCCCCACCATCACACGAATCCCTTATCATATACCTCTCGACCCAAACTCACTCGCTCGGCCTAAAAGGCGCCAAGTTACTGGGCCTAAACTATCGAGAGCTAGACGTTGATGAAGGGTGTGAATGGGGTGTTAAGGGGCTTGCGTTCAAGAACGCTTATGACGAGGACAGGAACAAGGGTTTGTGGCCTTTTATCTTTAGTAAGTGGCTCTTGGATTTTATTGAAGTCGAGGTACGTGGTGAATTGGTTTTCTTCAGTCGGGACGATTGGGACGACATCCTCTGGAGCGAATGATCATATCGATGAGATAGGCCCCATCAGTTAAGTACTTCATTTTCATTTTTTGCCTTTACTCTCATCAAATGTCTCGCCTGGTCATGGTAAATACAGTCTCCCAACTTGATAGCGTCTGGTTTCACATCGACGCCGCCTGGGCCGGAGTCTCGTTTTCTTGTCCCGAATTCAGAAGGAAAGGGAAACTGGACGCTATAAATAAGTACGCGGATTCATTTTGTACGAATTTCCACAAGTGGGGCTTGGTGAACTTTGTACGTGACACTCCGGTCTCACCTCGCACTTTTTTCCCTCACTCTCACTCGATTCTTATATTTTTCAACGGTAGGACTGCTCGATCCTCTGGGTCCGCGATCGTGCAGCTCTGACAGCCTCCATGGACATCGGGTCCTCAACTCCATCTTTCTTGCGCACAACCCAATCAGACGCCGGGCTTGTCGTGGATTATAGGAACTGGCAACTTTCTCTAGGGAGACGGTTCAGAAGTATCAAGTTGTGGTTTGTGTTAAGGAATTTTGGAGTGAAGGGGTTTAGGGCACATATCAGGAAGGGAGTTGAATTGGCGGAACTGTTTGAAAGGTTGCTTAAGGGTGAGGAGGCGGTGGAAGCGGTTTGTGAGGGGAAAATGAAGAGGGAGAACATGTTCGAAATGGTAACACCCAGAGCACTAGCTTTGGTCGTGTTCCGGCTCATTCCTCCTCGCCCTTCCCCTCCTGAGTCGCACAATGCTCTAAGTCAGGAAACTTTGAACGCGCTTAACATTACACTTCACCAAAACCTCACTCATCCTCCAACACCTCCCCCTTTAGCTTCTTCTTTTATCCCCGGCAGCGACCCGAGTGTTTCCAGTAGAAATCCCCCCGACTCTAGCTTGGAAGACGCCCTTTTCATCACACGAACCGAATTAAAAGGAAAGGTTTGTTTGAGAATGGCTATTGGAGCAGAGAGAACGACAGAGGTTCACATCCGAAAGGCCGTGAAGATCTTGGAGAGGGTTGGGAGGAGGGTTCTGAGGGAAGCAGGTTTTGCGGTCGGTGAAGGCGACCTCGGTGCATGTGCAGCCGAGACCAAATCAGCTCAAACGGAGTAAATTGGTGAAAACCGTTGATCTCGCTTTCTATTTTCTTACCTTGGCCCGAGGTTTTGGCCATCGTTCATTACCCTTCCCCCCGACTTGTTTGTCCGAATAGTTTATCACAGGGGGGTGATTTTTCTCCCCTTAACTTCTTTCCTACTCCCTGCTTCCGGTTTGATCGTACAATGCGATACCGCTTCTCAACTGACTCAACCAGCTAGTTCAGAAAACATTTGGTTAACCAATGTTATCGATGTCACAACTGAGAATGAATCTTCCGCTGTGCGATGAAAGTACCAATGATATGCCCGAGCCCTGGAAGAGGGGAAGCTCAGACTGGAAGTCCACCAGGGCCGAGTGGTAACCGAATTTGCGTCGCTGCGGACTTCGTATATATTCGGGATCCACAATACTCAAAAGATGGCCTCGCGCGCAGCGGATCTTTTATCACTAGCAACCAAGCCCCACCCGAGCCATGCCAGACCCTCCGATGCAATGGTGCGACAAGATGCCCGAGTATGGGAGCTCTTGAATTTTTCCCCAGAAAAGAAAGCCTTGAGTAAAGGCTCACCCATACCGTCGCTCGGACAAGCTGACAGCCAATTGTGGGCACGTTATGCCATGTGCCCTGAGCCAGTCAGTGGACTCTGGCAATGCCACTGTGCCCATCACTGGTTTGCTTATGCAGTTCTGACCCATCACGAAAATCGGACAGGCAACTAGAGCAAGGTCCCCTGGTCCAGAGCACTCCGGAGGCTCCAGAGCACCTGGGAGCATCTGGACCATGTGGGAGCGCCAGTCCGATTTTCGTGATGCCTTAGGCTAAGCTGCTCAACCCGCAGGTGTCAACGACTCACTCTAATGGTACGTGCATATTTCATCCACTGCTGCGTATCGCCATTGATCTTGAACCAGTCAACCCATAGTTGCATCAACCAGCGAATACAATCTCACCTACGTGCAGGACTATTGGAACACCAACTTTGTTTACATCGGGAAGTTGTGTGGCGGTTATTCGTAGCGGTTATTCTGGGGCGCTATGAGGCGTTGGGGGCGTTTTGCCCTTTCTCATTCAACTTAAAACTCCCTTTGTACGACGACGTTGCCACTCAGGAATGTCGGGGAGGAATTCTTAGACTTTTCTCCCTCAGAACTCTTATTCGAGTCTGAGGTGAGAACTATTTCTCAGTATTTTACTTTATAACTCTTGTATAACTCTTGTCGCAGTCTAACGCGACATAGTCTTTATTCTAATAAGGACTTCAACTCGACGCGCGTCCGTCCGTCGGCATATGTGCAGCAACAGCGTGCAGCCATGAAACGTGCGTTGGCACGTACGGAGCTCGTAAGGGTGTGTGTGTGTCATTTTAGGACACCGTCGGCATATGACGGAGCGTTCAATGGGTTACGCTGTACACAATCGATCAGTACAAGGCCGTGGGATGTATCCTCCATCTTGCCAGCTCTCCGACCGCCATCCATTCACTCTTTACCATCTCTTCCTGCAGTCGCCGATACCCACAAGACCACTCCATCCCTCGAGTTGTAATGACCTAAGTTTGAGGACCGAACTCCTGGATGAAGGGGGGCCAATCGGGCAGCCCACTGGCCGTTGAAGATTACCTCCCTGTGCGCAACGGGAGCGATGCTGCATAGTGGCCAGAGGTGCTAAACACCCAACCGGACGCCGCGTGTACTCTAGACACCCTTTAACGATACGGTGGCGGGTTATGCACGTCAGGAAAGGAAGGGAAACATGAGCGGAACGCATATTTCCACGAAGCATAGAGTGAGGCAGTTTACTTGCGTTATAGGTAACGCACACGAAGTTCAAGAACATTTTACATGCTGTGTACGTGTGTGTATGCGCACCCTCGCGGGTACCAAACAGGGAAACTCAACGATATGGGAAGACCCAAGGTGTCAGGCAGGACTGGGTCACTTAAATACGGATCATTTGCACCTCAGGATGATGACCGATATTGGAGAGAGCGTCACGTAGGGTTTCGAGTGAATCGGTCAAATCCGGGGTGTATAATGCGGGATGAACCGCGGCTAGCTGGTGGTAGAGTTGGACGCTCTCTTCTATGAACTGGAGCGCTTCGGAGTGCCGCCCAAGTTCAGAGAGAGCGAAGTACAGATTATTGAGTGATGTGGCTAGATCTGGGGTGTGCGATCCTGGGTGAACGGCAACTAGTTGGCGGTAAAGTTTAACACTTTCCTCGATGAATGGAAGCGCCTCGGAGTGCCGTTCGAGATTGGAAAGAGCATAATATAAATTGTTGAGCGACAAAGCCAAATGTGAAGTGTATGATCTTGGGTGAATGGCAACTAGCTGCTGTCGGATTTTGACGCTCTCCTCAATGAATGGGAGAGCCTCGGAGTGCCGTCCAAGTTTGGAAAGAGCGTCGTATAGATTGTTGAGTGACAAAGCCAAACCTGGGGTGTACGATTCTGGGTGAACGACAACCAGCTGGCGGTAGAGCTTGACGCTTTCCTCGATAAATGGGAGCGCCTCTGAGTGTTGTCCAAGATTGGAAAGAGCATCACGTAGATTGTTGAGTGACAAAGCCAGATATGGGGCGTATGACCCTGGGTGAACAGAAAGTAGTTTGCGGTATAGTTTGACGCTTTCCTCGATGAATGGGAGCGCCTCGGAGTACCGTCTGAGATCGGAATGAGCTAGATATAGAATGTTGAGTGATCTGGCCAAGTCCGAGGCGTATGATCCTGGGTGAGCGGCTGCCAGCTGCCGGTAAAGTGTGACGCCCTCTTTGATGAATGGGAGCGCCTCGGAGTGCTGTTGGAGAGCGTAATGAGCTAAATACAAAATGTTGAGCGATCTGGCCACATCTGGGGTGTATGATCCTGGATGAACGGCGGCAAGCTGGCGCCGAATTTTGACGCTTTCTTCAATGAATGGGAGCGCCTCATGGTGCCGCCCCAGTTCAGAAAGAGCGCTGTGTAGATTGCTCAGGGATAGAGCCAATTTTGGTCTGTATGACGCTGGGTGAATGACGACTAGTTCGCGCCGGATTTCGACGCTTTCTTCGATGAATGGGAGCGCCTCACAGTGCCGTCCGAGATTAGAAAGTGCTAAATACAAATTGTTGAGTGACATGGCCAAATCAGGTGTATATGATCTTGGGTGAACCGCAACTAGCTGGCGGTAGAGTTCGACACTTTCTTCGATGAATGGGAGCGCCTCCGAGTGCCGTCCGAGTCTGGAAAGAGCCCTGCATAGATTGTTGAGTGACAAGGCCAAATTTGCATTGTACGATCCTGGATGGACAGCAATTAGCTGGCGCAGGATTTTAACACTTTCTTCGATGGATAGGAGCGCCTCAGAGTGCCGCCCGAGTTTGGAAAGCGCACTATATAGATTGCTGAGGGACAAGGCCAACTTTGGTGTGTATGATCCTGGAAGAACGGCTACTAGCTGGCGTCGGATCTTGACGCATTCTTCAATGAATGGGAGCGCCTCAGAGTGGCGCCCGAGATTGGAAAGTGCTAAATACAGATTGTTGAGTGACATGGCCAAATCGGGGGTATATGATGATGGGTGAATGGCAACTAGCTGGCGGTAGAGTCTGACGCTTTCTGCGATGAATGGGAGCGCCTCCGAGTGTCGTCCGAGGCTGGAAAGAGCGCCAAGCAGATTATTCAGTGACATAGCCAAATCTGGGGTGTGTGATTCTGGGTGGGCGGCAACGAGCTGTCGCTGGAGTTTGATGCTTTCCTCAATGAATGAGAGCGCCTCCTTGTGTCGTTTGAGACTGGAAAGAGCCCTACATAGATTGTTGAGTGACAAAGCCAAATTGGGATTGTATGATCCAGGATGAATGGCAACTAGCCGACGCAAGATTTTGACGCTTTCTTCGATGAATGGAAGCGCTTCGGAGTGCCGTCCGAGATCGGAAAGAACTAAATATAGGCTGTTTAGTGATCTGGCCAAATCTGGAGTATACCATCCTGAGTGGACGGCAACTAACTGGCGGTAGAGTTTGACGCCTTCTTCGATGAATGGGAGTGCCTCGGGGTGACGTCCGAGTTTGCAAAGAGCGTTACATATATTATTGAGTGAATTGGCCAAATCCGGCATGTAAGATCCTGAATCCACGGCAACAAGGTGACGGCAGAGTGCTACGGAATCGTTTGCTGCCTCATATGCCTCTTGGAACCTTGAAGAAAATTCCAAATTCGGTTGGAGCTGAGTAAGCACATTGGCCAGCGCATTGATAGCACCTTTTGACCTTTGGTCAACAACCCACTAAAAATTATGAGCTGGTTTCATTGATAGCACAATTGATAATCCATACCGTATGCCACTCCAGGAGAAATGAGATACTAATGTAGCCTTCCATTCTCACACAAACTTCTACCCAACGAGTTGCATGCTGACTGAAAAACACACAGATTGAGCCCTGCAGCGCCTGCGGCGGTTCCTGGATTTCACTGAGGTGATAACTAAGGTGACGACATGCGTAATGAAAGTGCTCAGATAAATTCGCTGGAGGAATACGTGGCAGTTCATCTTGTTCGGACAAGTTGTTAATGAGTCCTAGATTCTCTACAGAGCAAAGATCCTGGTTCAAGATTTCGGCACATCGCAGGGCAACCTTGGCATTCTCCATCGTCGTGTCTACTGAACCGCAACGAAGGCTAATTGATTGGGGATCGATCCGATCCACGATAAAGTCCCGGAAGGATTGGTGCAAGATGCGAATCGGAACGCGACAATCCTCAACTCCTGAGAGGAGTGGTGCAAGTTCGGCTAACGTATATTGAATGGAAGACTTGAGGAAAGGCGACAAAATCGTATCCCAAGCTGAGACAGACAGAGGTTGTTGCGCCACGAAGATTGCTCCCATGACAAGTGGATAGTCATGCGCAAAATCTTCATCCTCCCAATCACACTTTTTCAGAATGCTTGTATACAAGCGATCCATCATTCCTTCAGCAGAAATGGCTGGCCGTTTGGTGCCTGTGTCAAGCAGTGTCTCTAATATCTTCATAGGGTCCTTGTTAGCCATCTTCATGTAGCTAAAGGTGGTGCTGATCCAAACAAACAAGCCACCCGCTCGCTCCAAGATCTTCTGTACTATTTTCCCCTCGTCTTGAAGTTTATGCCGTACATCGGGATGAAAATTCTTCAGCATCTGCAGCTGGGAACGTATGTACGTAGCGCAGTCCTGCACGTTTGTCTCATCCGAGAGATTGATGGTAAGGCGATCAATAGGACAATGAGCCGAGAGGAAGCGATTAACAAGATCAAATTGTCTTGATGTAACAAAGAATTTTATGGAGGACGGTAATCTCGGCACTTCCTCGCGCAAGATGTTAGCAAGAGGCTCAAATGCTTCTTTGTCACACTCGTCTAAAGCGTCAATGATGACCACCATTGGAGGGTAGGAAGGCGGGGGTTTATGGAGGAGAGGCGAAGCCACTAATTCCTTGAACTGCATCGTGAATGGGGCTGTTGAGAGAGTAGGGTCTTTTCGAAGGGCAGAGACAATGAAGTTGCGATGATCCGGGTCACGGTTGGCCAGAGCTTGAGCAATGCCACTGAATAAACAATCGGGCCGCGATTGTTCGCCTGCCTTGAAGAAAAAGGCTAGTAACAGGGTAGCCTCCCTTTTACAATTCTCTGCAATCGTGTGCGCAATTGAAGTTTTTCCGGCGCCGGCCACAGCGGTCATCAGCATCAACCGGTTCTGGCTGTCCCCAGTGCTACAACACCAAGCCATAATATGTTCCGTGAGATCAACCCTAGTACCTTTTAAGCATGCCTGGGTTGAGTCATAGTGAGCGACATCAGGGTATCGGAGTCTACCAAGAATCGAGTCGCCCTGCAGAGTATCTCGACCATCTTCTATGGTAGATAATCTGAGACTAATTCTTAAGTTCGTCCTAAGCTGCATCGGTCAGAATCAGAATGGTTATGGTACAACACCATGAGGAGAGCTACCTGAAACGCTGCCAATGCTTTGTCAAGATCTTTCTTTAGGCCATCGATCCTTCCGGAGTCTCTGAAGTGGGAAAATGTGTTTCTGAAAGCCAACCGTTTCTCTACTTTTGCGAGTTTTTGGTCGATTTTGGACTTGATCTCCTGCAGCGTGCTAGGACTTCGTGTAAGTACGATAAGACCACTAAAAACAAATATAACTTACCCATCGAGCTTTGTAGCACTCTCCACCCATGACTTTGCCTCTTCCGCTGACTCATCAAAGGACTTTATGGCTGCAACTACCTCAGCCACTGTGTCGACCACATATTTACCAAAGTCGGCCCATTCCCTTTTATTCTCCTTAAACTTCTAAGTGACGCAAACCGGGGTGAGCGTTCGTTTGCGACCAAGCACAGATTGACGCCAACCTTGACTTCACCGAAGATGAAGAGCGCACCACCAGTCGCGCTCTTTAGAGGAGGACACACATCAGCGGCCGCGTTGACGGCCGTGAGAATGGGGACTGCTATGTCGCCCCCTGTTGCGAGGAGACGATCAATCCTTCTCCTGAGAGCTGCAGCCCTTTCCCGCAATGACATAGTCGATAACGGAAAAACCGATGGAGGAGAGGGCGCTACAGGCACGCAACACACGTGAGCCCCTTCAGATGTCCAGAACCACGAGGCATCTGTACAATTATGGAAGGTCGTGGGCGGCACTGTCGGACAGCATGCTACATTTGTAAATAATTGGTCACAAACGATCCTACTGGTGAAGACCAGTCAGCTGAACTGTAAGCCGACTGAGTACCATGTACGAACTGAATATTGCCACCCGCGCGAGCATGCCATAAGCTTTTATAGACGACTACGCGATGCAGACAGGAGTTGACTGGGGGTTGTTCGCTGTCTGTCGAGCCGCCTACTCAAGGTTCAAGGGTACTGAAAGGTCTGAATTTACATAGATATAATCAGCTACACTTGCCGGCGCCTTGTAGGTTGGGACTGGGTTGGTTGGGTTGGGGCCTTGCACTTGAATATGCTATGACCACATGCACAGGGCTGTCGTCACAAGGGTCTTGCTGTTCGACGCACATACACGCATTTCTGTGGGATCAAGCAGGCGCCTCCGAGCGCCAAGGAGTTGATCATGAAATTAAAATTACGTGACACAGATTCCTCCAGTGCTGACATGAAAACCACCAAGTCAAGAGTATTACCCCACCAAGAAGGTTCACTTATCCAAATCCTCATCCTCTCCCACCTCATAATCAGCAAGCCAATAGTGGGCATTGATTTTCGTATCTTGTTCGAACGGCTTTCGGCCCACCCATCGAACAAATGCTGCCGCTTCATCCTCTATGGAATCGCGGATTGCGCGGCGAGAGATGTTCGTTTTGAAGTATTTGAGCCGACGTTCATGCTCCGCGATCATTCTTTCGTTTGCGCGATGGAAGGCCCAGAGAACTTCGCGGACCCTGAATCAGGGCGTCAATAACGGGCGCACAACCACATGGAGTTGAGGAGGCAATGGGGATGGACGCACTCATCGATGCGGCGGTCAAGCATTTGCCAGTTTGTGGTTTTATCCAAACGCCAGAGAGCGACAGTCTCATCACGAGAATCCTCATAGTCTTCGTCCTCACTCGGGCCAAAAGCCACCAAAGGTTGTTCACTTCCGAACTTCATACCACATTCTTGGAGTGCCGTCTCAATAATCTCGTTCGCCCAGCCCACTACACTGGTTGTCATCACCAAGGGGATACGAATGTCCTTGCCGGGACTCATCACTTCCAGAACGGAGTCGCCATAAGTGACTCGAGCGACGACGTCTCTTGGAAGCCGACCAAAGCTTTGGCCCTTTGCGAAAGTACGCCAATTGTCACTGAAGTCCGATTCACGAGAGTTGAACTTCTCGATGGCCCTTTTGAACTCGGGGATACTGAACTCGGCATCCCACTTATATCTGGCCGTATCGTCGGATGAGTATAGGCATGCGGCCTCCGTAGTATCGCGCCGAACTTACGCTGGTGTGTCATCATAGGAAATAAACGATCGACTGCCTTCACCATAGGCGTCGGAAGCAAATAAATCTTCAAATATACTGGATCAAGTCAAGGCTTATTCGGGGAAAGTGCTCTGAAACATACTGAATCTCGCCAGCGACCTCAGCTTCCCAGAGGGCAACATGCCTCATGAAGAGGGAAAAATCTGTCAAGCAACTTCGCCAGAGAGGCTCGCTGGTTATCTGGCCATAACTTTCCAGCATTGCATGCGAGAAGACAGGTTTGCCATCAGGTGATTGAATCGGCTTGGTCAAGTCGGTGTTCAGATGAGGAACACCAACGTGGAAGGGCTTATTCCCATGTCCCACAAAGAGATAGCGTTTAATTACTGTTGAGGTCCAGTCACGAGCGTCCTTGGCAGCGGAGTCGATAGAGAAGTTCTCTATGAGATCTTCGCCCCGAGAAATATCTGTAAGGGCTTCGGGATCATTGTACACAGCAAGAAAATCCAGGTAAGATGGAAGAATGCAGATTCCGTAGCCCTTGTTGGCATATTTGAACACACTTGAAGGATCATTCATCGACGTCAGCCGAAGTTTTTCTCTTTGTAAGTGGGACTTGGAACTTGCCGCTGATCGCGCGTAGCCTTTCGATCACCAAGATAGTGTCCATCGATGAGGTCCATCTGGCCAAAGAGATGAACACAGAACCAGGTTGCGGCGATATTGAATATGCTTACTGTGAACACAATTAAACCGGTTTCGAGTGCGCGTACGCACCGTGGCAACAACCATACATCTGCACCGTCGTATCCCGCTGCACATACATCAAGGTCGAAGTTAAGGAGGACCTCCCGAGGACTTCCGATAAGTTTCAGGACAATTTGGACCCGTCGACGAGGATACTCTGAGTAGAAGGTGATTGTTTGAGAATTTCTAACTACGAAGAACGGCGCATTTGGAGGCAAATTCTTCTTGTACACTGTCTCGATGTGTTCAATTTTTGCATTCGCTTCCTGAGGGGGGAGGCCATAGATGTAAAGATCGATGTCCGAATCCTCAGAATCCTTAGGTTTTTTAGCTCCGGGAGAGCTGGAGAGCTTCGACGGAAGCTCTGGAGTGAGCAGAGTGGAAAGTACCATCCCACCAGCAACGAAGACATTTGACCAATCCAGTCCAGTCAGTATTCCATCGGTCATCTCATCCCATCGCTTTTTGAAACCTTCCTTGGAGGTTTGGAGGAAGATGCTCTGATGTCTCTTTGCATGTAGGACAGTATACCCAGGAAATGAAGTGACTGGTCGGCGTCTGATTTCCAGCGCTTCGCCTTTCTTATCACTGATTATGGTGCAGTCAGGGATGACGGACTGGATATCCCCCACAGTCACAAGGCCATACTTCCATGATGAAACAGCGTGCGGGGCGTCAGCCGGGATCAACTTGAGGTTGTGGCGACGAGATAGAATCCGAAGATAACTCTCGTTTTTCAGGATCCTAGCCAGCATGAGAAAGGGAATTGATATTCGGTATTTATGATAGCACATTGAGGAATCTACACTCACCATTCATCAACGTCGGCAACAAAATGCCCATCTGAGACAGTCCTTGCACGTTTCTTGCCACGTTCAGAAGGCCCAAAGTGACATTCCGCAAGTCCAAGACATCTGACAGTATAGGGAAGACGATACCAATTCCATAACTGTTCACCTCCCTCATAGCGAGCTTCCTGTAGAGCAGCCCTGATGGCTTCAAGATCTGCCTTGGGATGCTCGCCAAGCTCTTTCAAGGCAAGTTTGTCCAGGTCGACATTACAGGGATTTCCCAGGGAGATATTCTCCTTGCAGATTCTGGATTTCGCTTCTTCCCAATGCTCGAGCTGATGGTTGACGACTTTTTTAGCCATGTCCCCCATACGGATGTCCGTATTACTTTTGAGAAGATTCCGTAATGCGAAAGGTGCAGCTGTGGATATTATTGGCCAAGCCGCATGATTGCGATTATACATTGGCTCAGGAAGTCCTTCATCTGATAGCAGACGGCCACAATGGTTTTTGCTGTAAGTCTAGACAGTGGGCGCAGTGCGAAATCACATTACGTTTTTCTGTAGTCATTTCGGTTCGCGTGTTGATCCCTCGTGCGTGCTGTTTTCTTCCACCCTCCATGGCATAAGCACCTTTGCAAGTCTAAACTGAATTCAGACCGTGAGACCCTGGGCTCTTTTACATAATTGCATTATGTAAGTATTTTGGTTTTGATACGAAATTGGAGATTAAATCTTTGCAAGTCAGGCAGCATTTGCACCGATAAAGTCCAAAGCCTGATTGAACGCCATGTAGTACTTCGAGCTATCCTTCCCCTGAATACAAACTGGAGTTCGGTGTCCCAGATTTCTGTTTGGGCGCTAAACTCTATGAAATGTACCCCGAAGAATGCGTTCGTCTAGCTCTTTCCAATGTGCTTCAGTGGTATGGGACTCGAAATTGTATTTCAGAGAGAAATTGCCCTTGAAACGTTTAATAATCTGCGTTGTGACTTATGAGTGTTAGGGTGCGGCTACCGTCTGTTGGCTGAGCGCTCACCTCATTGGCGAGTCGTCTCTGAAAAGGCCGGTTGCCTTGCGATGCATAGCCATTTAATGCGGTAAAAATGGTATGCCAGCTAGTCCTACAAAGAACAAGTGGGCTTGCGGTTCAATACAAGAGCTTGCACCTGAGGAGTCTCATCGAAGATTAATTTCACGAAGATGTTGAGTCTGAAGGATCGCGGTTTTTGGTAAAGAATGGGCATTAGAGCTGTAACGGGGCGTCGAACTCGAATACTACTAACAGAGCAACATTTTTGACAGACGACCTGCGCCCACCAAACCTGACGGCCTGGAATAAGAGCAGTGACGAGTTACAAAGAAACTCGGTACTTGACCGTGTTGCAAATTATTCGCACCTGAGTACACGATGTAAGGATATATATCGTTCAGCATAAAGCACAATGGATGATCATGCACTAAAACGGCCATTGCATGTCATCACCGACAGCCAGTGGCAGATTTCAGTTTTATGTCACGCCTCAATGACGATAGCAGAATGGTTGGAAGCACCGGTTACTGATCATGAACGTGCAGAAGGGATATAATTTGCGCGCTTTGCCCATCTGCACACAAGTAAAAAAAAATGAATAGTGCCGGTCGGATGCAGTCCGTAGAGCTCTACGAACCCCAAAGGAGAAACTAACGAACTAGCTGTGCATGATAATCTCCCGAGAGCACGATATTTGACTGCAGTTCGAAGAGGGCGCTGCCTCGATGCGCTCAGAACCGGATCTCACCCATTGAGGGCAAGGTTAAACTTTGCAGTCCGAGCATCGGATGTCTCTGCTGCAACCTCCAACTCCTGGAGCAATGCTCCACAGTCTTCAACGACGGAGGATAAGACCGATGAAGCTTCGATGATACGCGACTTTATTTCATCCTTGACCTTGAGTATATTGGCCCTTTGCGCTTCGTACCTTGAAAAACGTATAGCCGGAAGGCAGCATACTGAGGTGAGGGAACATACTCAATTTCAAGATTTTTCCGCTTCGCCAGCGCAGCACCGGTCCCTTGACTGAGCTCATCCTCAAGATCCCGAGCCGCCTTCTCAAGCTGATTATTGGCCTCTCGAGCATTTTCCGCTTCATCCGCCATTTTCTGCCAGACACTCCTTCAGCTTCCCAAAGGGGCAATAATGACTAAAAAAAACCCACCTGCTTCATACTCTCGATCTGCGCAATTGTTAATGCCCTTTCCTCCTCACAGCTCTCGATTCGTTCCCTAACGTCCTCGATCTTTCCCTCGACCTCCTCGATTTCGTGTTCAATTTCGATAACCTCCCCCGTGATCCTCTGCATCTCCGCCGTCGTAGCTTTCCTATATTCCCCTAGAGCAGGTTTGATTAGCCTTCTTAGATCAACGACAGGAGCGATCGCATTTGCTGGAGAAGCGCCCGGGACCAGCATTGCTTCAGAGGGGGAGTTGGAGGAGGGATCTCCACGAGCCATGTTGAGCTCGATTCGGAACTCAACATTTTGAATGGTCTTTGGCAACGAGTTGTTCGAACCACCAACTCCATTCCGATTCTCGGCATCCTTCCCTCTCGATGTGCTCGTTCCCCCTCCCACAAGACCCACCTTTTCGAGGAGTGTTGTATATACAGCAATATCCTCCTCGACACTATCCACACGTCTAGCAAGGGTGACTTCATTTTCATGTAATGCCTGTTTAGCTTGAGCAAGTTTTTCGTTTAACGTTGCGTTTTGTTTTTGCAAGGTTTCAGCATCGGAGAACATTTGAGAAATTTCGACCTCGGTCATCTTTTGAGCTTTGATCTGGGAGTGGAGATCGGCACGTTCGGCGAGAAGAGAATTCACCTCCTTTCCTGCGTCATTTTGTTGGTGTCGAGTCAAAAGGTCAGTTGGTGAAGCACTACTGAAGATGGGCAAAACGCAACTGGTCTCTTCTATATTTTCCTCCAGATCCTCAACAGCATCCGAGATTCTCTTGCGTTTCGAGCGAGCATCTTCCATCCCTTTTTTGAAAGTTTTGATGCGCGATATAATCTCAGCACGCTCCGTCTCCGCAAGCTGGAGTGGACGCTAATTCAAAATGTGAGGACGCGAAAATTGGGCACGTAACCATTCAAAATACTGCACCTCCTTGCTCCGGAGTTTCTCAAGTTGGGTGCGTAATTTGTCAATTTGCGTGTCCATTTGCTCAATCGCTTCTTCCTGTCCTTCTGTCCGAAGATCTGGGATATGTGAACAAACATCACACCCATGGGACGGAACGTGGAGACGGCAAGAACTGGAACTCACTGTATTCCTCAACCATCCGCATTTGTTCAGCTTCAAAATCAGCCTCCTCATCCCCCCACCACTTATCATATGTCTCAGCGTAGAATCTGAATTCGATAAGATGTCGTAGCTCAGGAGCATTAGCCATTCGTTCGTCTTCCGGGTTGAGTGTAAGCGCTTCAGAAGGGAGAACGTATAAATCCTGGGAGTCGGTAGACAGCCAGCGGGCTTTGATCTATGTTGTTGATTTGATCAGAAACCGTTCGGGTGATAGAGGGAAGAGAGTTGTTTCGCGTACTTTTGCTTGCTGAACCATCCAATGTAAACATGCTAGAATACTTTGCCACGCATGCGGAGCACTCGGTGCTTGGAGACTTTGTTTACTGATTGTGTCAATCAGCGGGTACCTCAAATCTTTCATCACTTGGATAAATTCCTCAGGCATCGTCCTGACTGATTCTTTGTCCCTCGAGGAAGATACTGCTCTGCTCCCTTTTTCAGGTTCCACGACGGGATAAACATAATCGGGATCAAGCTCTTCGACGAGTCGTTTCCAGATCTCAATAAACTCTCTCGTAGAAGGGCTTTGAAGTGTTTTGAGAGACAGAGTAGGTAGGATAAGATTCATTTCGATGCTTATGAGATAATCGAGGATTTCTCGTTGTTCAATGAGTTGATAGGATTTGTCACGAATAGGACGGGTTTCCTTATGGCCGGATGATGATGACGATGGAATACCTGCCCGTGCGGGTCGGAGGGAGTGATGAGGTTGTTGAGGTGCATTGGATTTACGCACGCTGGAAGTACCGAGTGCAGAATAGTTGATCGCACTTGAACCAAGATTAGATTTTATTGGTGTTTTCCCATAATCGATGCGTTGGGACAAGGAAGACGAGGGGGCCGTCAGGGTTTGAGGCGGCGGGCCTAGGTGGGATCGGCCAAGGGTGGATGCACTTGAGCCCGGAGGCGGGCGAGTTTGGACAATCCCCGGTAAGCCGAAATTACTTTTTCTGGGACCTGCACTACGGGAAGAGAAAGAGGATGGTTGGATTGATTGGGATGGTAGAACAGAGTGACGAAGGGAGGTTGCTGGTTGCTGTTGTTGGGTGTTCTTTATTGCTGAGGTTGGGGGAGGAATGCCTGTGCGACTGTCATTGGGATTGTCGCGTCTATGGGCCATTTTGACGCGTGTCTGTTGAGTAAGTTAGACTCGACGCCAAACAATGTTTAAATAAGCACTGGGAGGCTCGATGTAAACAAACAAATGACTGCAAGTTCTGGGCGGTTACAGAGCCCCGTAGCTCTTCGTCGTCTGGCCCATGGAATATTTTTGTAGGAATGTCACTTCGCAGCTCCATTCTCTGTCCCTGCGTACACAATCAACCCTATTGTAGGTCGTTTCGTAGGCGCAAACAAGTGTCAACATCTGACTCCTTGAGCTTTTCTGTAGCTGTGTCACCACAAGATATTCGATCACTTCATAACCCAAGACGGGTCTGTCATGTGGCTTGCGCCCACCAGGATGTATCTGCCACGTACCCTTCCTCATTCTTGTCAACTTAGCCTACAATGCTTCGCATTAGGCAGTTTCGCATACGCATCCATTATAACACCCTCGTTTCGAGGTCGTCTGTTCTGTCATACGTCCACCTTTCGAAACGCAGACTCACTACGGTCTCTCCAAAGCCATAACATTCTTTCTAGTAACGCAAATCATATAACCTATTTTTTCCGACGGCACTTTTGCTTTACATCCGGCGAAGACCTGTTCGATTCACGCGTGATATCAACCTCGGATTCTAATCAGCCTAGTTTGGCGCAATCTACTACAATGGCCACCGAGAAACCTGCCGATTACAGGTTACCGACGAATGTGAAGGCAACTCATTACGATCTTACCATCAAGACTGACCTCGAGGTTCTTAAATTCTGGGGATATGTTATCGCTCAGTGAGTTGAGCGGCTCGATCAACCTGATCGGCTGGTGCAAGAGAAATCACCGCGAATACCTTGCTCACGTATTGAACAGTATTGATATTCTCGAGGACACTTCATCTATCACCCTCAATGCTTCCGATCTTTCATTCGCGCTCGGGTCCATCGCCGCTATAGACTCCTCGGGGAATTTGCACAAGGCTAAGGCTGATATTGTGGAGGATAAGAAGCAAGAAAGAGTCACGTTCCAATTTGAGGATCCGTTCAAGAAAGGCAGCAGTATCCAACTTAGAGCGGCATATGAAGCAGAGTTGGGAAATAGCATGTTGGGTGAGTATTTGCCAATACTTGCAAGGTGATGGCGCTGATGCTGGGAGCTGGGGTTAGGATACTATGTGTCGTCTTGGAACAAAGATGGCAAGAAACGGTATGCGTACCGTGATGTTTTTCTAGGACTGTGTTGGTGCTGAATGCTCGTGCCTGTTCAGACACTATACACTGACTCAGTAAGAAGCATCACAATAATCATGCTTTCTAGTACTGACACTCCCTCAATAGGTTCGAAGTGAGCCCATATCCGTTTTCCCCCCTTCACAATAAATTTCATCTAAGCGCTTTCACCCTCATCGTAGCCTACTGCTGCACGAAGGCAGGTCACTTACTCCACCTTCATTCCCAGCCTGATCCCCTCCAAAACAGAGCCTTCCCTTCTTGGGACGAACCCCTCCTCAAAGCAACCTATGCTATCAACCTGATTTCTCGCTCCGATACAGTCAACCTCTCCAATATGCCATCTATCTCTGAAATACCACTCATCTCGGGACAAAACGCTTCTGATGAACCCGTTGGTGTAAAAGGGTTAAGGGAGGTGTTTGGGACCGACGGCGAAGGCTGGAAGGTGACTGTATTTGAGAAGACACCTAAGGTAAGTGTTGATATTTCGTGGTTGTTTCTTCACACGTTGAGGATAATGGTAACAATAGGTTTCAAGCTATCTTGTTGCGTTTGCGAACGGGCATTTCGCACATATCGATGGGACGTATACGAGCCCGTTAAGCGGGGAGAAACGTCCCCTTCGTGTGTATGGTGCGTTCTACCATTTCCTGGACCCCACGCCCCGCATCAACTTCCTCCCTTTTGTACAGCTACCCCGGATATAATTCATCAAGGTCATTTTGCATTGGAAGTCAAGTCTAAGACACTCCCGCTTTATGAACAAGTCTTCGATGTTGAGTTCCCCCTTCCCAAGCTAGATACGCTCGTTGTGCGTTCCCTTGTTCCCCTCTCGTTTTGTCTTACTGATTTGGGGATGCCTCCAGGCAGCAGACTTCGATGCAGGTGCAATGGAGAACTGGGGTCTAATTACAGGTCGTACAACTGCTTTCTTGTTTGATCCCAAGAAGTCGGATTTGTCGGCCAAGAAGAGAGTTGCTCAAGTGCAGGCCCATGAGGTGCGTAGTTTGGGCCAGCCGCAGGGCAGGGTGTGGCTGATTTGGGTCGCTGTATTCGCAGGTAGCGCACATGTAGGTCATTATACTCTCTCCCAGGGCAAAGTGGTTAATGGTGTTCTTCTAGGTGGTTTGGTAATATCACGACAATGGCTTGGTGGGATTCGCTTTGGCTTAATGAAGGTTTCGCCACGCTCGTATGTTACTCATCGGCTTCATTTGACTCGCATACTTATTACCGTGCCAACCAGATGGGTGAAGTGATCATCCTCAACAAAGTCTTCCCCGAGTTCCGATGTCACAGCTCGTTTATCAATGATCATCTTCAACGAGCGTTGAAACTGGATGCGCAGAGGAGCTCGCATCCTATCCAGGTTGATTGCCCTGATGCGAATCAGATTAACCAGGTGTGTGACCTTCTTTGCTCGTTGCTAGGTGCCTTGCTTATTGTCTATGTACTGTGTAGATTGTGCGTTTCGCTCGATTTTGCCCGTCGCGTGGGGTGAAGGGCTGACGAAATGGATATACTAGTTCGATGCTCTATCGTACTCGAAAGCAGCCTCAAGTAAGTTGTGACACCCATCACACACCCGCTCTTGCGATTGATCTAAATGCTCCAGTGCTCCGCATGCTTTCGCAATACGTCAGCGAAGAGAAGTTTCTCAAGGGTGTTAGTATCTATCTTAAGAATCACCTCTATGCGAACAGTGAGCCTGTGGATCTTTGGAATGGTGTTAGCGAGGCTACCGGCATCGACGTTTCCAAGATGATGGATAACTGGGTTTGGAAGGTGTGTTTATGGATGAGCAAATGGGGGTGGTCAGGATGATTTCAATAACCTTTCACAGATTGGTTATCCCGTTTTGACCGTCACAGTCAGAGAAGGCGATATTCATGTGAGACAGGATCGATTCATTGCAACTGGTGATGTGAAAGAAGAGGAGAACCAGACTATCTGGCACGTATCAGCCTCAGCCTCGTGGGTTGCCACTAACTGCGCTACAGGTACATCCCGCTAACCCTATTATCTACCGATCCCTCTGGGAAGACGTCCATTGACCGCAAGGTTGTTCTGAATGAACGAGAGACAACAATCGTACTTGATACGACCAAGCCTTGGAAGCTGAACGCGGGAACCGTCGGAGTCTGTGCGTATTTCCCGGCGTCCCCTTCCCCTAATCCTCATCGCGCTCCGGCAGATCGGGTCTCCTATGAACCGGAGGTTCTCAAGCAGCTGGGCACTTGGGCTGCTGAGAAGGGTTCCCCCTTCTCGCTAGAGGATCGCATGGGGCTTGTGAATGATGCAATTACTCTCGCTAAAGCGGGAACCAGTTCAACTAGTGGTGCCCTTGATCTTATCACGGGGTTGAAAAGCGAGACTGAGAGTAAGCTTCCCGTTGCTGTTATTAGGCGGGATGATTGGCTCACAGATGATATTTAGATCTTGTTTGGCAGAGCATTGCTTCAACTATTGTGTCAATTAAGGACCTTCTTTGGGAGCAACCTCCTGCATTGCAGGAGCGGTTTAGAGCTTTCGAGGCCGTTGGTTATATGGCTCACCTCACCTCCATTGATTACCTTAACTAAGTATGGTTGTAGTTCCTCTTCCTGCCCATCGTAGAGCGACTCGGATATGAAAGCTCGCCAAGCGATACTGTCGATGATCGTGAACTTCGAACGCTCGCTGTTGGCCGAGCTGCGAGGGCTAGACACCCAGCGTGAGTCCCTTGTTTTGGCCGAATCGCGCTCTTTACCAAATGATATGGTTACAGCGTCCTGGCGGAGTTGAGGTCCCGTTTCGCTCACTTCCTAGAGACTGGCGACGACTCCAAGATTACCTCTGATCTACAGAGAATAATCTATAGCACGGTCTGTACGAAGTTTTGTCTATCGTTCGTGGGTTCTCATATCTCTTATTCTAGGCAGTCAGATTTGGCGGGCGCATAGAATACGAGGCAGTGAAGGCAATTTGGAGGAAGCCACCTACACCGTCTGCGAAAAACTCTGCTCTGTAAGCAATGCTCGAGTTTGGCGCATTATGTCTCTAATGTAGTTGCCGCTTTAATGGTCATCTCCCATGAAGAATCGCGATCATGCAGTCCGAGGACGCCGAGATCTTTGAGGAAAATGTGAAGTTGATTTTCAATGAGGTTCCCCTTCAAGTGAGATTTTGTATAATCTTATGTATTGGACGGTAAGCTTATCCATTATTAGGACTGGCACACCACTTTCGCCGCATTAAATATGAACACGGTTGTGCGTCGCAAGGCAACCGGCGTTTTTAAAAACAATTACGATGAGGTCAGCGCTCCAATTGAGGGCGGCTACAACACTCATAACTTTCTTTGCCTCTCAACCCAGATCATTAAACGGTTCGAGGGCAATTTCTCTCTTGGATACATCGTGAAGTACAATTTTGAGTCCTACACTACCGAAGCAGATCGGAAAGAAACGAAAGCATTCTTCGAGGTACGTTCCATAAATAAATCTTAGCGCTTAAATAGAAATCTGAAACACCGAACTCCGCTTCGTATTCAGGACAAGGACAACTCGAAATACAACATGGCGCTTAATCAGGCTTTGGACTCTATCAATGCGAATGCCACTTGGCTTGATCGGAGCCTGGGCGAGATTGAGAGGTGGCTCAGGGAGGTTCCGGCAAAGATTTAATCTGCAACTTGATTTTGAGGTTTTCCTCATTCAATAAACATACTGAAACACTCGTGAGCATGAGAACGGACTGCAAACAACTGTGGGGAAGTCATGATAAAAGCTCTTGACCGATGCCTTTGTCTTCCGCTTCGAAGTGCTGATAAATCCATATTAGTACTTATGAAAACAGACTATAGACTACGAGTACAGTCATTCACGTGCCAATGGTTCACACCCCTCAATGGTTCATTTGCATGTAACATCCTTATTTCACCCCGGGATTTTTTTATTTTTTGCACACTTGTATGTTATAACTATGGCTATGACTACGCAAAAATTTGACCAAATCGGACATAAAATGAAGGAGTAATAGCAGTTGTTCAACGAGTTAATGGTGCACACAAAAGTTATGCATCTTGCACTCTCCAGGAACATGGCTATGACACCGCAGTGTGTCCTACAGCTTGGTGTGTTACCAGGGAACAGAAGGCCACTGGCACATGTGCCCATGCTTGTTTGTTGTGGTGAACGAGCACTTGTCAGACTGAGGTATACTTACATCCGAGTTTCCAAATTCAGTATCTCAAATTTATTCCTTTCTGTGCCTGCTGCTTTCACCAGTATCAGTAATCACTCCCTTAGAATTCACAAGCAAAAAGCAGCTCAAGCAGTAGAGCAAATATTCTGCAAACCCTTGCTTCATGCCATATTACTGAATTATCGGTTCGGTGTGTGAACTAATTGTCACACCATGTCACACTGAACCATTGAGCCGGGAAAGCACCATTTCTTTGTCTGCTTTTATTCTTGTTCATTTTTCATCCATTTCTTTATATTTCTCGGTAATATGTACATACCCAGCCTGGCTACTATCCATCGTAAAATTTTTGTATTTGGTTTTGATCCAATGTCATAGTCTCAAAATTACAAAATGTGAACCATTGGCCCGTGAATGACTGTATATGACAGCAGGTTAGGAAAAAGGAAGAAAAATCGACATGGGGGAAATCCAAATGCAACAGCAGTGCGATTCTCAGCACTTGAAACCTTCAACAACCTTTGGTGTTCATGAAATTTCAAGGGAAGGGGAATAACCCACAACTACTGGAGAGTGGCGACCATCGCTTTGATATGGGCAACAATGCAATGTTGATAATAAAGGGTGGGAAATGTAGTGCAACAGTATATTTGTAGACAGAACTAGGCAGGACCCCAGCCCCCACGACAAACAAACAATATGTGGAGGCTGGAACCAACCCCGGTTCATGAATGCGGATTTTTACTGAACTAGAAAGGTTGCTTTGTGTCAGGGCAATAGCCCCGAACCCCGAGCCACATGTAATTAGATACATATAGTCATGTGGGTAAGCGGGAACCTCCGGGTAACTGCTTACACACTACTGTAAAATACACACATTTGTATCACTTACGGCTCTGTGTGCTGAGCTACCCCAGAGACCTCACACTTTTTTAAGTGTATGAGGTGTGTTGTTACGGATACGGAGTCTCCAACGACCATATCCATCACATGGTCAAAGACTTCTCCTCTCTATCGTTCCTCCCCTCTTTCTCCCTTCCGTCCTCTATCCCGATACCCTATCTTCCTTACCCGTTCTACCCCTTTCCCCCCCCCTCGTGCAAAGCTTTCCCCATTGGGGTTTTGGTGCTGGCCGAGGTTACTTGTGTTTCGCGGGATTTCCCGCAACCTTACCATTTGTAGATAGTCACGTGTCTTGTACGGAAACCGCCGAAGGCGGTTCCTGCTAACTAACAACTGCTCTACAACTGTCTCATGTATCGTCTTCTGTAACAACCCTCCCTGTGACTCAACTGAACCCGTGTGATTGTACAACTCTCAATATGTCTTATAAGTATGGTTATATCGAGTCCTCTAATGGCCCTCGCTGTGAGAACTCGAGGTCGCAAGTCGAAGACTCTCGACATGTGTATCGTCCTATGGAATCTGTACCCTATGGGTCCTCGTCACTCCGCTCTCCCCCCAGTACTCGACATACGACGTCACATCACGATCATGGAGATCTGTCAGGGGACGACTCCCGGGTCCCCATGACCCTCCCCTATGGCCCACAGCCTCAGGTCTGGCCAGCCCTATCCAGGGCACAATCTACTACTGTGGGTAAGAAGATGAGAAGGAAGCTAACTTCTCATCTTCCCACAGTGGCCACCATATCAGGAAAACTTCCGGGGATACCCGGAAGTCACATGAAGGAGTAGGAACCGGGCCCGGAGCATGCGGCACGCGGAGCGTGCAGGCATGCGGGAAGCGCAGCGGGTGGAAGCGGGTCCGGGTCCGGGCTAGTCAGGGTGTGTGCCCTGACAAGATCGTGAATACTCTGAGGCCCACTTTCCTGTGATGCCGGCACGTTCGCTACGCGAACACCAAGTCGCCGCCCATCCACCATCTGTTCCCTCCTTTGTCAGTCATCATGTTTCCCCGCCAACGGTACGTTCCCTTTGGGAACGCCAAGTCACCGAAGGCCCTATTAGTCAGTCCTCATTGCACGCTTATGATATCAACCCGCTACCGGTACATTCGCACTGCGAACGCCAAGTACCCGATGGCAACTATACGAAGTTCTCACCCATCTCACAAGTCGCAACCTCGCACACGGTATGCTCCATTGAGGAGCGCCAAGTACCCGTGGCTGACCCGTCCGTCCTGGCATCTCCGACTACCTACCATCAATCCCTTAATATGTAGCTCACTACATCACCAATCGCGATCAATGGGAATTCGATCGTCCACTCCCAGGCAAGACTGGGATCACTCATCAATTACATATCCCGTTATGGTACAGACTAGATATGACCCTCGTCATCCCACTATAAGAACAGATCGAGGAATGGGGAATTTCCCCCATCCCCGTAACATGTGTTTTACAACACAACCCACAAAAACTATCCATTCTTAACATCTGACTCGGTAGTGCCTATGGCACCTAAACACGCCCGCAAGGGCAAGGTCACATCTGCAGTGACGCTAAAAAGAAATGAGCGGTTTATTAAGAAACCGCAATCTCCCATCATGGGAGATTCAAACCAAAAGCCGTCGTCAGATGACAACGAGGATCAACACGATCCGGCATTAGCAACCACCTCAGGGCTGGCCCCTGAAGGTTTTAGAAACTTATGTGGAGTAAGTGCAGGGCCTAATACCCCTAGAACTCCACAACATACTGATCTAACCCAAGCTGGGGAAGATCCCTCACCTCCTCACAAGGTGATTGACTTGTGCGATAAACATGTAAGCGCCGAACGATCAGCCCAAAAAGCTGATCGGATAGAGTCGCAGGAAACTCCAGGCCCAACTATCCCCTGGAGTCCCCCCTCATGTCCCCAAGTCAAGCCCCAAAGGCAGACAAAGGGAAACAAAGGGAAGAGCCCCCGCATCGGCTATCCGAAAAACTACTGGACTTGTTCCAGGTTCCATCCGAATGGAGGACGGAAAGCGAAGACCAACTTCTTCTCAGGCTGAAAGCCCGAGAAGGTGTGAAGATACGCCCTGAGAGCAGGATCTCCCAGAGCACGGAAGCTCCAAAAGAACTTCCGCTGTTTACACTCCCGCACGCCATGCCAGACAAGGCAAGGTCACCAACCTCGGAGGAGGTCTCCGGGATAATGGGGGGGGGGCGAACGGAAATGAGGGAGTTCGCTGAGGAAGCCTTATGGAAAAGTAAGGAAAAACCAGCAAACAGACCCCTCTATGAAAGGGAAGCACCCTCCGCAATGGCCTCACCTAAACAAAGCAAGCGTGGAGTGTTCACTCCAAGAACCCCTTCTGGAACCCCCAGAAGCGGTAATGTCAACTGGGGAGAGTCTCTGCTTGCCCAACCAAACTTCCTCCTGGAAAACCAGGAATCGCGCATAATAAACGTGATAAGCTCGATCCAAAAAAAGATCGAGGAAACGAACCACAATAGTATGGCTCATCTAGAGATAACTCTAGAAAGAATGGCCAACGCAATCGACGCGTTGACTGAAAAAATCAGCGAACAGACGGACTTGCTGAAGGAAATAAACTTCTCACAAAAAAGTGAGGAAACAAATAAACACCCCTGGACCATGGTCCAGGACATAAATAGAACTCGTGAAAAATTCACGAAAAGAACCACCAGTGAAAGCACACTGGAGTATCATCAGCGACTCGACAGAGATGCTAAGGAGATCCTTCTCCCAAGGATAGGAGAAGACGATGCCGAAAGAAGGCATCGTTCAGAGATTAGGAGGAGAATTGGCACGTACCAAAGGTTCGGCCAAACGTCCATTTATGATGGACCTCTCAAACAGAGAGGTAACTCAAACACACACTCTCAAAACAATGAGAGAATCCAAATACAACTTCAGGCGAATTCGCCTGAAACCAAAGAAATGCTGCAAGGAAGATTTCCCCCAGCGAAAACCCCCCCAAAGGAGAGATCTCCATTGGATAGCAACCCCACGAAGGCAGGGGAGCAAGAGGAGTACCTGGAGAAATGGTACGAGAAGGCCATAAGAATGGCCGAAGTGAGAATACTCACTCCTTACCCAGAAGGAGTGAAGCCTGAAGCCCTAAAAAATGGGCCAGCATTCCCTGACAAGAAATGGTCAGGGGAGAATGACATGGAATCGTTCTGGCAGTGGTTCACAGAACTACTAGGATTCCTCGCTTCGTGAGGATGCAAAGGTCCCCAATTCGACAAAGTCCATCTGGACTGCTTGATTCATGGATTAGGGGGGCCCACGTTCGACCTTGGAATAAGACTCCGAGATGAAACCCTCCTCAGAGGAGACAAGGGCATGTTCCTCGAAGTTCTCAACATATTGATGAGAACTTTCATTAAAGCCTGTTACGGGGATGGGGGAAATTCCCCATTCCTCGATCCGTTCTTATAGTGGGAAGGCGAGAGTCATGTCTAGTTTGTACCATAACTGGAAGTGTAATCGATGAGTGATCCCAGTCTGACCTGGGAGTGGGCGATCGAATTCCCATCGATCGCGATGGGTGATGTAGTGAGCTA